ACCCGCTTTTAACATGGAATCTACAGAGAATTTCTAGCCCGTATTTGGCTAAATCTACTTACAAATATCACGGAATCATTCAGGCCACAGATTTCTAGACCTCTCCCCATGTAAGCCTCTGGTGCTCAGGAGGATAAATCAACAGAGTTGCTAATTGGTTTTCTTTTTATCTGCTCCAGAGACAAGAAACTATAATTAAATTCCTAAACCAGCCATTTTTAACCCAGAGAGCCAGTAAGACCAATCAGTTTTCCTAGGAAAATATAAGATGTGCATGTATTGTTTAGAATCAATATTCTTTGTCCCAGACATCTGAATTTAAAATGTATTGGCAATTACATTATTCAGAGGCTAGCTTTTCCTCACTTTCAAAAGTCAGTCAACTACCACATATTGATTTTGATTCTTTTTAATGCAAAGATACCCTGCTATTTTCATGTGCAGCCACTTTGTCAAAAGATTGATTCTAGCACAGTGAAAGATGCTGCATAATACTGGGAATCCTGGGACAGAGGAAGAAGTACTTATACTACCGAGTGTTAATGTTAGAATTTAAATTTTGGCTCAACAGTAAGTCACCAGATTTCTTGTGCTTCATTCTTAGTTCAACATGAAGCAACATGCAACAGAACTGGCATGGGTCCCATCAGTTGTGGTAGATTCTATCTCTCCTGTTGGCTTAGCTGGTTCATCATTTGACTGAACATCTCGAGAATAATTTAGTTCTGACACTGAAGCAAAGCATTGGCAACTTTTTTTTTAACAATCTGTGATTTTGTTAGAAGTTACCTATTTACTGACATTTCACACCAAGCTAAACTTCTTGATGTGAGAGAAGACTCCCAGACACGGTTCAGTTTTATTGTCAGCATTTGCTAAACTATGATATACATGCAGTCTTTCCCTGGTATTCTCCATGCTGGTGTTGAAGGTGTCTGAATCAAGAGCTAAAGTGCTTATTCATCTCCTTTCATAAAAAAAAAAAAAAAACGGCACTCATGGTATGGTCAGTTCACCAGGTAGAAGAACTGTGTATATTTGGCCATTTCAATCTATCAAGTCTCTGGTCAACTTACAGAATTTAAAAACATTGGAACACAGAAGAGTTCAAAATCTAAAATAGAAGAGGTCCAGAAAAAGAACCCCCACTAAAAAAACAAACAAACTACCACACAAGGGGTTATCTATTTGTCTATTGTAACACACAGCCTGCAGAAACAGCTACGTTTTGAGGACTCATTTAAATAGGGTCCTGCTGCCCTTCACCCGGGCATGTACTTTCTCTGGAACCAAATACCCTGAACAAGCAAATGATGCATTTGGCTTAATTCACTCTCTACACCAGGGGACCCCAACCCCTGGTCCGTGGACCAGCACCGGGCCGCGGCATGCCAGAAACTGGTCCATGCAAACAAACAAAAACCCATCCCCAGGATGCAGACAGTACATGAAACCATGCCCCCTCCAGTCCATGGGAAAACCTCTCTCCACAGAACCGGTCCCTGGTGCCCGAAAGGTTGGGGACTCTGCTCTACACCTCTAGACAACAGTATAGTACATTGTTGTCTGACACTGTCTACTTAACAACAACCCTCACCACTTCTCTCACGAAGAGTTTAGCTTTCTTTACATTCTCCCTATCCCTACTACTCTCTCCCGATAAGTATCAAGAGGTTGATTGTGCTTTGCCATTTGAACTCTCGTTCAAGGTGAGCTATCCCCATAGCCTCATAGTTCGTGGGCATGTGCTTTTGGCTCTAGCTAAACTAGAAAACATACTGATGGGTTTTTTTATTCCATTATGACTTATCACTTTTTGATTGCCCACCAAGGCAATCCAGAATAAGATAGCAGACAAAAGCAAAGAAGATCTTCCATGAGCATTATTAATAAGGAATTACATAGTTAAGAGGATTGTATCTAGGAATAAGGGATTAAGAAGCATTTCAAAGAAACGCATTTAATGTTCCCAAATGAGCTCAATGAAGCAAGTGCAAGCTGTCCACTGGGTGACAAGTTCACTAGTAAGGACGGGTTTATTTCTATCTTGTCACAGGCAGTTACCGAAGGAATGGTCACTTATATTTTTCAGTCAGACTGTTCTCTCTGGATTTATAGTCTTATAACATCTTGGGAAATGTTCCCAGGGATTTGTTTTCCCCTTTGCTTCTCAAGCTGTTCCACTGCCTTGAAAAAAAGACTTTATATATGTGACCTGCACAGAAGAACTATCAGAAAATAGAATGTAAAGGTTAAATTAAAAGCACTGAAACTATCACTATACTAATAAATCCACAGTTAGATAGATTATACAGGAGAGTAGTTTTATATCCTGGAATTTGGGAAAATCATAAAACCAATCTATCTTGTATACTTTAGTGTCAGAGCAGTTGGGAATATACAAATGTATCCTGTTTTCCAATGTATAAAGATCTCCCAGCTGGTTTTCAACCTTCCTATTATTTTGTACTTCTATCAAACCCAAGAGAAGAGATCATGAGAAAATTCCTCCTGTTCCTTCCAGAACAGTTGCAGAATGATGGAGAGAGGCATAACTAAGTATAGGCCAAAACTGGAAAGGTACATGCATCTGCTCACAATCCCATTCCCAACACCCCTGCATTCACATCTACTTCATAGAGCTTCTTGTGCTTAGTATAGAGGTGAAGCTGCTTTTTCCTCTGAAGAACCTCATTCATTTAGGAGCTTTCTGTAAATAGTTGCATGTTAATTGTGTCTGGAACAGAAGCAAGGTGAAACTAGCAAAGAGCTAGACATGATTTTAATCATCCATTTTCTTTCTGACATGTCTCTTTTTGTCTCTTCACTTTTTCTTCACGGACCGTAATAAGTCATCGTGCACCCACACGCGGACATGTGACGTGCTGGGGGCTATGGGGGGGGATGTGGGTAAAGACATGGACATGGCTGTGTGTCCCTGGAGAATAGCGCGGCGAACACGGGGGAAAGAGGTGGCCAGGCTCGGGACCCCACCAGATGATCGGCTTAGCGTCACACAAGTTACTTTGATGCAAGGCGATACGGAATGTTCCCTCCCCAGCCTAGGAGTCGTGAGTAGTAGAGAAGAAATCAACCGTAGGAGTGCAGAACTTGAAAGTATGTGTTACATGAGTGATGCAAAGATCAACCGACCGGGCCCCGTGACGAGGTCTATGAGCCGAATGCGGGCGCGGTTGCACTCATAAGCAAGCTTCCCCACCCTCTGGCTTTTACACCCTGACGATGATGGCAGTGATACAGCCATCGAAAGCTTGGTTATTTATCTATTAAATACTTGATTGCTTTTACTTCCTCATATATTCTGAGGTTTTCGCAGATGTTTGTATGTAGGTCTTTGGTTATTTGGGTTTTCTCCCGCATAAAATTGGAAGTGTCTTGGCGACGTTTCGACGAAGTCTCATTCGTCATCTTCAGGCTGGTGTTTTCAGCTTCTTGCTTCTAGGAGCAATGTGTGATCATAGCTGTTTCTTCCTTTTAACTGCCAGTGGGAGTATGAACTGATTGGGTGGGAGCTTGGCTGTGTTCTGATTGGGTGGAGGTGTGTTCTGATTGGTTAGGGGCTTGGCTGTGCTATGATTGGATGGGGGTTGGCTGTGCTCTGATTGGATGGGGAGTGTTCTGTTTGGGTGGGGGCTTTGTTGTGCTCAGGTTACTCTGAATTGCAGGGGTATTTGAGATATTGAGCTGCGTTACTATTGTTTGGCTTCGTGTTCGTGGTCATGCCTCATCTTCATGGTGGGTGTCAGTTTGCTTCCTGTATAGATTGGAGGGGTTTAAAGTGGCTAATGATGCAGCTGTGGTCCAGTTTCTGGTTTGTGGTCATGCCAAACCCACACCGATGATGAGGCACGACCACAGACCAGAAACCAGACCACTGGTTTCTCAGCATTCAATTCTTATATTAAGTTGTAACCAGGACTTACATTTGGAAGAAGAGAAGACTTCACAGGGATGGGATATAGTATGTAATGAACATGGCATTTCTTGAATTCAGTTGTCAACTCTACAACAAATCTGGCTGCAGCCATCTTGCTCATTATAGGTTGCAACATGAATGGGAGTGGGTGCAGAGTATCTTTGCTAGTCTAAACAATTCTATGTCTCGTGGGAACCAAGGTCATTCTATCAGTTATGTTAGGGGGCTGGGTGTTTTGTTAGAAAGCCGCCAAACTATTCTATTGGGGAACGTAGCTGATTGCATAGTACTGGGGTGGGATGTTTGACTTTGTAGTAGTGTATCTCTTTGGAGAGAATTTCAGACTTGATTTCACTTTTGACCGTGCCAATATTTTTTATCCAATAAACATGTTCTTTGAGGAAATCTCTAGCCTCAGAGTTCTGATTTATTTGGCTCTATCTATCAGAACTTTGACATCAGTATCCACCATATTAGGGAAAAGCAACTATGAATGTTTTATTTTCTCATAGCCACCATAAAATCTGTTGTAGACCTCTTTGATCCCAACCGGTCTAAAATTCCTGCACAGTTGCTTTGTGGTAGCATGGTTTTCTTTTCCCGATATTCAAATACAATTTGGACAGAACTACTGGATGTGCATGTTTGGAAAGTTTATAATTCTACTTTTCTACACAGTTGTTCCATTTACACAGTTGTGAGATCTAAAAGTGTTCCACTTACAACATTAATTAAGATATTTTGCAAGACTTTAAATGATCTTAGGAAGCTGTAATACCACTATAGAACTTGAAACTGGTATACTGTATGTGGTTTGACCTCTTTAGAAAATTTGCTTGCTATATGGAACTTCAGAACTAGCACAGATAGATAATAGATTTTTTGTAAGTTTAAGTTTTATTACATTCACTGGATATATTGACTGGATTTAATAGGGCTTCCTCATTTCTATGTCAGTTGCTAGTTGTAGAAATAGAGTGTGATGAAAACACTTCCACTCTAAGTCTCTCTGAAAATTAAGATTTCAAGCTTTTTAAATCATTTCTGTTCTTGTTTCTTTCAGTAAGCAATAACTGGACCAGGGCGTTCTAGCTAGAGGTTCATCTTTTGCCCCTGTCTCAATGGATTCCAAATCTTCAAAGTAAGATATTTGATCTTTTTTTTTCTATTTCAGTATTAGTGTATATAGATTAGGGTGCATTTTTCAATATGTGCATCTAGCGGTATGTCCGTTTAAACTGCTTTTTTACCACATCAAACAATGTTGTTCTAAAATGACATGCTCAGAAGTAAGTCCTATTGAATTCTACTAGCCTTAATTTCAGAATATAGAACTGCAGGTTTAAAATACTTGATGTTAGTATTATCTTGAAATCATATTGCGTAGGCTCTGAGAAGCTATGTCTCTTGACAAATGTGTTATTGTGTAGCTAGAATCATTAAGTACGATAGGGGCAATATTCCTTTTCATCCAAGGAAATTTTGGCCATGAATTCTTGTATTGCTTGTTTAGAAATGCAAGATGGTGGAAATAAGCTATCCACTCGATTACTTTATTTCAGTTTATTGCTTCAGGAAACACATTTATTGTAATAATGGTAATTAATAATCTTTAAATGTGTCCGCCACAGAGCAGTATGTATCAAGCAATTAAAATAGGATAATTCATTCATATGCAACATTAGTTTAAGTGAAATGATCCCCAGTCAACCTACTATAGGATTCTTCTTCATAATCATGTTATTCTGCTTCTTCCCATCCTTGAGGTAGGGGCAAAATATGCCAATATAAGAAGTGCTGCCTTCACAGCCTATTTTTACTGCACCTCAGAAAAGAAGCTAGACACTGTTGCTGCCTTATGCAAATTATGTTCAGGAAGCATAAGCAGTCTGATTCCCTCTGACCCAAAGTCATCTGTTGGAGAAAATAGATTTGGGTTTTTCTGTATACATATTTCTCTATGTGTCTGTTGCCATGGGGATGTCAATGTCTTTCAGATCCTGAAAGTTCTGAGAGAACCAGAGGCAATATTCCTCTCTTGGAAGGATATATTGGTCTCAGGAAAGTTCCTGGGACTTCTTCCATCTTGTACTCTGTTTTGAAAAGAAAAAAGAGAAATTTAGCTGATTTTTTTCATTATTTTGGACTGCTGGGTATTGGTTGGTCCAGATCCCTGGTAGCACTGCTTTAGCATGATAGACTTAGAAAAAATAACTTCCAAAATGGCTGAGAGGAACAGGGCCCCCCAAAGACCAGGAAGAAGCAGTGAGCAATTTAAGTCGCCATAATAGAAAGTTTTCCAACTCAAGAAGGAAACGTCAGCTTAACAAGCATCCGCCTGGGAAAGGTCCTCGTTAACGAGGTCCTGGCCTTTATTAACTAATACAGAATGGCACAGGCTATATAAAGGAAGCTCTCTTAAGTGCCACTTTGGAAGTGGTGAAAGAACTGGTGGCATTTTCAGATCAGATCATTTGCGGAGTTCCAACAAGAGCGACTGATTGCCTCCCATTTTGAATGGGCTCTGGCTAAATTAATACTAGATTGGTGTACTCAGAAAAATCAAAGATGGCATTTCTAAAGGAAACCTTATTTTTATTCCTGTGGCAATTGCAATTTGAATGCTATATTTAGAAGACAGCCACGCAATCCCTTTCACGAAGAAAATACCTTTTGGTTTTATTTTTTGCTTGTCAACGGAAATATCCGCTTCCTGGAAGTCACCTGTTCAGTCAACTATGAGTTACTATGTTAACATTTCTGAGCTCCATCAGAAATGGAGCTCCCACTCTCCCACCCCTCCAAAAAACATAGGCTTTGCAAGCAAGGAACCAATCTGCCTTGCAGCCAAGCCAAAGTGGCTATGAAGGTACGGAGCCCAGCAGTTGGATGGGAATGGCAGCCCCACAGTTAAGGCAAGTCAATTGCCAGCATGAGGGGTATTGCTTGAGTCATGAAGAAAGCATCCCTTTCATGCCAAGACACTCTAGATTGATTTCAGGCTGCTGATGAGATTCAGGCAAAGTTATATATCCTGTACAGTTGGTTGGTAGGGCGTCATCATAGTGTAGCAAAAAGCCACGTGGATGTGTCTGTAGTAGACAACATTTTTTTTTTTAAATTGGGGGAATTAATTAAACACGGTTGATATGTATCATAGGTTGTAATTATGATGTATCCTAACAGATAGAGAGATCACAGGATAAACACATTTATAATCTGTTGTTACTTCTTTGTAATCTTTCCTCTCTCCCCCTTCCCTTCCCTTTCCTTCTCTTCCCTTCCCTTTTTATTTCTTCTTCAACTTTTCTTTTTTTTTTAATCTTCTTACTTTAAAATTTGTTACTGCTTTTATTCTGTTGAAAATTTCTTCAATAAAAATATTTTTAAAAAAGATAAGAATCTGAGAGGTTGTGTCAAACATTATAAAGTTGGGCAAGAGCAAGGAAAAAAATAACTACATAGGCTGGCACCCTTAATGTTAAGTCTGGGATAAAAACAGAATCTTAGAATTCTGTTGACTGAATGCTTTGAAATGCTTCTTCCCAAATTTCTATTTATGTAGTGCTAAATTGACTTGCTCAAAATCTCCTGATCATTTGTATTCTCTTTACTTCCTTTTCCAGAGTCTTTCACAGATCAGATTTACTTATGGCTATTTAAGACATCTATCACTCGTGTTAATTGTTCAGGAAGCAATTACTACAGAGATGTTTCTCCCCAATAATAATTTATATTGTTAAGCCACTAGGGGAGAAACTTGTTTATTTTCCATTTTAATGAGAACTTACCTAATGTTTCCTTCTTATCTTTCTTCCACATTTGGTGACATGTTTCTCCAATTAGGAAAAAAAAATCATATAACGAATATAGTCGTGTTAAGAAAGCAGATTGCAGCAATGTGTGTATTTGAAGAAATAGGAATTTTCATACCAGTTTTCAAAATAATAATGATGCAGAATTGTAAAATTAGTAGAATGAGTAACTGAAGCTGACAAAGTCACTAGTCAGTATTTGGAACCTACAACAGTAGATTACTTATCTGCACCTGCTTTTGATGTTGTTTTATTGACAGTATTTTTATTTGCAATTAATTCATCCCTTGTGGTTTTAACTTTTAGAGTCCATTAAAAAAGAGTGATCAATAAACAGACCTGCATGACTTCTTCAGGCATCAAAATTTAAATGAATTCCATGTGGAAGAACCAGTCTTCTTCTGCCTACTGACCGCCCCTCCCCCTCCCAAATCTGAAATAGTGCTGAATGAAAAGTATCTTTTATGCACAGTACATTCATTAATAAATGGGCTGGCAAATGTTCTTGGTTTTCCCAGTGGAGAAGGGAATCTCTAGATCAGTGGTTCTCAACCTTTTTAATGCCGTGACCACAACCGGTCGTAAGTCGAGGACTACCCAACTGGTTGTAAGTCAAGCACTACCCAACTGGTTATAAGTCGAGGACTACCCAACCAGTTGTAAGTCGAGGGCTTTCCCTGCCTGGGAGCACCGCGCATGCGTGGTGCCGCCCCCTGCGCCGGCCGAGGCGTACCTGGCAAGGGGCAGCGATAGCGCAGGGCGACCACCGGCTGGGCCACCAGCTGGCCCAGCCCAAGGGATGTAAGGCACCCACTGGGCCCCACGCGCGCCAGCAACCCTCCCTGCGCTCTCCGGCCTCCCACCTCCCACCCTGGCCTTCTTTTACTTACATTTTTAGTAGCTGCTCAGCAGAGAGAGGTGGAAGCTTCCAGACAGCTTGCCTTCACTACAGACAACTTGCAGCACCATTTGCAGACTGGGACTTTTGGCGGGCTCAGCAGGGCAGAGACAGCCTGGACAATTCCTATTGGCTTTTGAAAGCCAATAGAATTAGACTCTATTCAAGAGAGTCTATTCTATTGGCTTTCAAAAGCCAATAGAATAAAAGGGAGTAGCACAGCTAAGGAAAAGGGGGAAAAAATGGCGGACTGTGTTGTTTGGTGACCCCCGTGAAATGGTCGTTCGACCTCAAATGGGGTCGCAACCCACAGGTTGAGAACCGCTGCTCTAGATGGTTTTCAACAAGCTAAATCAGTTTTTGTTCTAAATGATGTAGGAGATATTCTACAACTTTATTACGGTATGTATTGTTACTAAACAAATTTATATTGCTGCCTAACTCATATATGATGACTCCGGGTGGCTTATGTACATTAAAATTTCACAACATAAGAACCCATAGATTGCCCCACCCCCATGTCCCTTAAGTTTCTTATCAAGAAAGGAAGTCACATTCCTCTCTGAATGACAATGCCTCCAGCAACTCGGGGAGATGTTTATGAATGGGAAAACTTAGAAAAGAGCAGGGGGACCTGGATCTTGTGAATTTATGAATATTCTTTCTGAATCTGTATCCACTCACATCAAAATGTAACTTCTATTTTAAGGCTGATGAGATTACTTTGAGATGGAGTCTTTGGTGCTCTCTGAGCTTGATTGTTTCCCTGCAGAAGTTTCATTATCCAGTTAGGTAACATCATCAGTGTGAGTGAGTGTGGGTTTTGCTGCCTGTTTAAATATAGTAGCTTGCCTTGTCAGTTTTGGAAGAGCAAGCATATTGAGGCAGCACCTAATCTACCTCACATTTGGAGGGAGAACACTTGTTATAAGCACTATTCTTCAGAGACTTTTTCTTCATGGCTACATCAACTTGCATAGCCCAGAACAGTGCAGTTAACCCAGGGCAACAGGAAAGGTATGTGCTACAATAAAGTACTCTTCTACATCTTCTATCCTGTAGTGTGTCCAGTCCTTGGAAAACAAAGAATTCTCATCGTGTATAGATATGGTTTATCTCTATAAGTCTACTGATGGCTGGAGTTTTAAGATTTCATTTTCTCTTGCTCCTAATACAATGGGGAAAATTTTAATTTCTAGGACACAATATCTTTCTGCATAAGCTATGAGTAAATCATGATTGCACTTGCATTTCTTCTGTTTTCCCATGATGAGAAATTAATTTCAGGGTTCCCCTCCTTTATCTTAATGGACAGTCCATCCAAGCCACTCTAAGATGAAGGCCTGCACTGGACTAACACCTAAGTCATCTTTCTTCTTTTGTTACCAGTTCTGTGGTTAACTCTATCAATAATACAAAATTCTCCAC